ATATAATATAACATAGAACAATTTAATTTGCATTTTGCATTAAATTTTCATTGAAATCGTTTTAATTGTTTTAATGAGCAGATTCATAATTCGGAATTCCACATGGAATTTTTAATGCATTAAAATGTTTTAGCAAACATCTGTAGGTAAATACTGCTTTTTTTATTAAATATTACTTTTTAAATATTGCTATTTATTATTTTTTTATTAACCAAACAATATGCAAATCTGTGAACAACTTCACAACAATTTCTTTGATTTTACAGTTGTTTACAGCTATTTTCTCTAAAACCAAATGTATAAATTACACAAGTTCTGATTAACTTGAGTAATTCGTATATCTGTTCTAGAGAAAATAATTTTTTAATAATTTCATAATTCTTTATGGGAATAATAAGTTTCCCCTTACCATAATGAAAACTATTACTGTAACTAGATTTTCACTGTTTTTACTGATTCAACTTGACTACATTGACTGTTTGATCAAAATTATGGTTCCTCTTGATTAAAAAAAGACCCTTTTAAGTGATTTCAGAGGAAATACATAAATACAGAGATACATATTAGTAATTGTTTAAAAAAAAATTATACAGCTCTAAGTATGAGGATCATTTCTGTATAATCTCAACTTATTGAAAGCAAAAATGAACTGTACGGAATTAATATGAATCATGTCTTAATTGTAGTTGCGTTTACCTGCAGACCAGACCAGCAATGAACAGTATGATTGAGAGCACATCCAGAATGTTCCACAGATCACTGATGTACATCTTTGCTTTCCTCCGGAAACCAGACCCGTCAAAGTCATGATAGAACTGCGGCATATCAGAGTTTCAACGTACAAAATAACAACATGATGGGTGAATAATTACAACTTCACCCTAAAGAGGTATATTTCCTAAGGGTGGAAATTACAGCCCTGTGCGGGACTGTTTTCTTCCGCTCCCGTGATTTTTGTGTTGTACATATATATATACAGTATATATACAGAGCTGGGTAGATTAATTACAAATTGTAATTCGTTACCGATTCCAAATTGCATGACAAAAATTGTAGTTAGTAACGTAATCCATTACATTACACATTTTAGGTAATGTAATCGGACTACTTTGATTACTTTTAGATTACGTTTGACCAAACTCATTTATCACATTGATTTAAAAAGGATAATCTTGTACCACAATGATAAAAAATACAAAGACCCGGTTTCACAGACGGGGCTTAGACTAAGCCAGGATTAGATCATAGTTCAATTAAGACATTTAAGCCATTTTCATAAACTTGCTTAGAAAAAAAAACATTACTGGTGTTCATCTTGAGATAAAACAAAGGCACTGATATATTTTAAGATCAGTCAATGCAAGTTTCTTTCAGTTGAAACAGCTCAGACTTACATTTTAGTCTAGGACTAGGCTTAAGCCTTGTCTGTGAAACCCGGGGAAAGAGTAAGAAAATATATTCCATTTGTTTACCTGCATGTCATGTGACCACTAACCAACGTCAGAGAGCCGTAAACATGCAAATGTGTTACTGAATTATTAAAATATTTATTTTAAAATCTCAGAGGTACTTCAAGTAAAAATATTAGGTGAAAGAGGTTCAGATGACAAAAAAGTTTGGGAATGCCTGCATTACATGTGAATAAGAAAAAATGTGAATTAGTGCATTTTAATGTGTTTGAAAGACAAAAGCCTTCCAAAGACATAAGAATACATGATTAAATAACCCTCTGATAATTCAAATAAAAAATGAATGTGTTTATCAGTAGTTGATGCAATGTTGAAAACACTTCTTAAAATTAAAATGATTTTTGTAAATCCAGTGGTCAAATGCTGTCTTCCACAAAACTGGACTTTCTGAATGCATATAATTATTATTATTTTTTTAGAAAGGAACATTTCAAAGATGAAATAAGGAATTAGGGAGAATCAATAAATTATGAATAATTTATTGCTATTGTGTGAATAATATGTAATCCTAAAATCAATAAAAAAGTAACTGTAGTCTGATTACGAGTATTTTAAAATGTAATTTACTCTAATTACAAGTACTTAATTTTTGGAATCTGATTACATTGCATTTCAGAAAGGCGGGGCATAGAGTAGAAACAATAATGTACAGTATGTGGAAAATAATGTGTTTTTTTAACGCATAAGCACATTGCATTACACCAAATACATAAAATAATGTTCTTTTTAGCAACATCGTATGACCCCTTTAAAAAATCTATATTTTTCTTACACTAATGCATCATTTCACTTCAGAAGGCCTTTATCAACACCCCGGAGCCATGTGGAGTAGTTTTATGATGGATGGATGGATGGATGCACTTTTTTCGGCTTCAAAAACAGGGGCACCATTCACTGCCATTATACAGCTTGGAAGAGCCAGGACAATTTTAAATATAACTGCGATTATGTTCGTCTGAAAGAGGAATGTCAGATACGCCTAGGATACTCTGAGGGTGAGTAAATCGTGAGCTAATTTTAATTTTTGGGTGAACTATCCCTTTAATTTACTCATTCAACCTACATAAAAGTTAATAAATGTTTGTGGGAATTTCTATATTTTTATACAATAAAATATTGATACTTGGTGTTCATGTATCGATACATTATTGCCAAGCAAAATCTCAATACCAATACCAGTGTTGGGGAACGTTACTTTCAAAAGTAATGCATTACAATATTGCATTACACCCTAAAAACGTAACTAATTGCATTACTTAGTTACTTTTTATGGAAAGTAATGCATTACGTTACTTTTGCGCTACTTTTTGTCACCTGGCCTGGGCTTGCTCTGTTGGTTTTAATATAAAAAGTTCTGTTTTTGGCAAATGTAAAAGCCCTTACTTGCGTTACTTGTAATAATACCACTCAATACAATGCTGTATTGATTTTTTCCCCCACAAAACTAGAAAAGAAGGTTTATGAAGAGAAACTTTGTTACTTTGAGGCTGGCTTGATATAATAACATTATTGTAGACAATAATTAAATAAAAATTTTAACTGTTTATTTAATTCATAGTTTAAAATATAGTTAAGTAAAATAATAAATTAATAAATATTTTTTAAATGGAAAAATAAAGAGACTTTATTGTATAGGCACAAAGAAATACATAAAGCCTTCTAGAAAGTTTGTAAAAAAACAGACAGATATAGTATCAGTATTCAAACAATATAATTATCACGGACTATAGTGTGTGTGTTTGTCTCACCTGTCTAACCTCCTCACACACCAGCGAGGTGAGCCACACGTACAGCAGAAGTTCCCTCCACGACGGATAGGCCTGGAAATCAATCATGAGCACCACGGCAAACAGCCACAGGAAGCCAAAATATGAGGCGATGTTCCAGTAAAACTTGACTTGAGGCGACGTGAACAGACTCATCAGACGAGACGAGCAGTTGAGAGGCTTCAGCTCAGGCTTCTGCGAGGAGCCGCTGAGACACAACAATTATCACTCCTTAGTGAGTGAGATTTCAGACAGATACATATTTTAGTATGCTTCTACATGCTCACATAAGTTTGATACATGAACGTAGATACAATTATTTGTGACCCTGGACCACAAAACCAGTCATAAGGGTCAATTTTTTGAAATTGAGATTTATGCATCATCTGAAAGCTGAATAAATGAGATTTCCATTGATGTATGGTTTGTTAGGATAGGACAATATTCGATATTTACGGTAGGAAATTTACAAAATATCTTCATGGAACATGATCTTTACTTAATATCCTAATGGTTTTTGGCATAAAAGAAAAATCTATAATTTTGACCCATACAATGTATTGTTGGCTATTGCTACAAATATACCCCAGCGACTTAAGACTGCTTTTGTGGTCCAGGATCACATTAATAATAATAATAAATCTTTGTAATATTCATAATGAATAATTGTTCTTTAATATGCTAAAGATTATTTGGTTGTGCATATTGGTTATGTAATAATAATAATATTATTAATAATAACTTACTATGAATATTACATGAAGATAATAATAATAGCAACTCATGAAAACTGCATAAAGACAACAACAAAAATAATCTTTTTGTAATATTCATAATGAAGAATTGTTTTTTAATAGTCTATTTTTTTATTATCATGTCAAAAAACAAAAATAAAATAATTAAAACTGGTTGTGCATATTGGTTATGTAATCATGATAATAATAATAACTCATTATGTATATTACATAAAAAATAATAATAACAATAATACATTATAAAATAATAATCACTTTATGTAATATTCATAACGTATAATTATTTTTAAGTCTAAAGATGGATTATTATTGTGTCAATAAACAAAATTAAAGTAATTAAAAATTGGTTCTACATATTATGTAATAATGATAAAAACAAAAAATAATATTATATATAATATATAATAATAATCATTTTATGTAATATTCATAATGAATAATTGTTGTTTAACAATCTAAAAAAAAAAAAAAAAAATTAAATTTGGTTCTGCATATTGTTTATGTAAAAATAATAGTAATATTTATTTGTGCAATATTCATAATGAATAATTGTTCTTTAATTGTTTATAGATTACGTATTATTGTGTTAAAAAACACAACAATCGCGTTTGGTCTCGTACTGTATCAGTCTCGTGCGCTTTGCTTGGCCATTTGTTGTGATAAACATGAAAGTGTACGGTAGCCGAAAAGTGCAAAGCAAATCACAATTCTGAAAACAAAATAACAAATTACAAACGCAAATGGACTGCTTTTATTGTCCTCATTTGTAAGTCGCTTTGGATAAAAGCGTCTGCTAAATGACTAAATGTAAATGTAAATGTAACAAATGATTGAAATATAAAAAATGATCTGTATGATGCTAACATTAGTTTAATACAATGATTGAAGGGATTGACTCATGCCTTTAAATGCATTCGTGTGAATGTGGCCCGAAGATGCTCAGAGTTTGTGCCTGTAACTCAACTAACCGGTAATGCCGTTTGAGTTTGATGTCTGAGCTTCCAGAATAGACTGAATCCATGGCCAGTTTCTGCTGCTCCGTCCTCTCGGCCTGTCTCTGGATGTCTTCATCCCGTCTGTGAGAGTTCAGTTTAACATTAAGAATTAAAACACCACTTATATGAAGCCACTGTGAATCACTGAAAGTCATGGTTTGTGGTGAAAGTGCATTTGCAGCTTAATTATTCAGTGCAGCGCTGCCATCTGATGGTGTGTGCATGTAATGACCCATTGACATGACTTCAGGTTTAAGTACTTTTAATAATGCATTTGATGAAAACGAGTGTTTTTACCTGAAGGTTAGGAAGCCGGTGTAGATGAGAGGAAAGAAGATCATGCAGAGCAGCACTTTCCAGTGTGGATTATCCACAGACAGCTCTCCACACCAGATCTGAGTCAGCAGAGCCTGTATAGAAAACATAAAAAACAACAGCGTTCACAGGTAGTTTTATTATTTCGAGCGAATGGTTTGCATGCATTGCTTACCTACCCTTTCACAGACTCCAAAAAATATATTTATGCAATCTTTTAGACCACAAAACAACCTTTTAATAATATATAAATAAAATTTCATCAGAAACAAAAGCAATACTTTTTGTAGAAATAAAATAAAAATAATATTATCATTATTATACAATAATATGTATAATATTATTAATAATAGCTATTATTTTATTGTACAAATTATTGTTTTGTTATCTATGCAATATAATAATAATAATAATATTTGATAAAAATATCTTTATGTAATATTTATAATGAACAATTGTTCTCTAATATTCTTTTATTACTGTGTCAAAAAACAGAAATAAAAAAGAAAGATAGTGCTGCATATTGGTTATAATAATCATCATCATATAATAATCCTTATGAATAAAAAATATGAATTAAATAATAATAATAATATTCGTTGATAACGTTTCTGATAGATAATATCATGTTTTTTGCTGAATGTGGTATCCTGTCAGCAATAACCTGTCCGTGGGCTTTTTTGATTACTGTCAGTTTAAGTGCCAGTGATATAGTGTTGCCAGATATTGCTATGAAAACAAATAAAAACCGAAAAATAAATAGAGAAAAAACCAAAATTAGTGCAAGTAAGGTAAGACAAAGATATCGCTAACCCTAAACTGCAACTTCCCACTTTATTAACTTTCTAAAGTGTCAAATTAAGTTGAAAAGACGAGTCCAAAGACGCTTATAATAGCTGGATCTGGCAACACCCTCACTCACAACTCAATCCTCATTCACTCCACCAAACGGTCTAAACTGATTATACATGCAGACACTCATACGAGGAGTTTTAAACAGCAAATTAGTCATTCAGAGAACATTTTATTTTTGAACATGAAAAATGCACCGAGGTCTGGACCTCATAGCCATGCAGGCAGCCCGATCAAAAGTTCAGTTAAACAATCATAAGGACACCACACAATAGTCGAGTTTTTTCGACAAATGTTTTTAAAAATAATCTCCTTTTGTGATCCGAAAAATGAAAGACGGGAATATGGCATTAGAACATCACAATGGTGAGTAAATAATGACTTAATGTTCAATTTTGGGTGAACTATCCCTTTCATACGCCGAGACAGGAAAGCCATTTATATTTGTGAGCCTGGAGTCTTAAGTCGCTGGGATATATTTGTAGCAATAGCCAAAAATACATTGTATGGGTCAAAATGATTGATTTTTCTTTTATGCCAAAAACCATTAGGATATTAAGTAAAGATCATGTTCCATAAAGATATTTTGTAAATTTCCTACCGTAAATATATAAAAACTTAATTTTTGATTAGTAATATGCATTGCTAAGAACTTAATGTTGACAACTTTAAAAGCTTTTTTTCAATATTTAGATTTTTTTTCAACCTCAGATTCCAGATTTTCAAATAGTTGTATCTCGACTAAATATTGTCCTATCCCAACAAACCATACATCAATGCAAAGCTTATTTACTGGTTTTGTGGTCCAGGGTCACATTTCTCAGTAGGACACTGGTAAGAAACCAGCTGATGGGTTTGTTCACCTGGACTCCAGAGTGAGCGATGAAGCTCTTCGCGTCAGCTTCGAGCGCGAGCCACAGACAGGTGCTTCTGCCCCACGACGGAGAGACGCGGATCAGCAGCTTCTGCGCCCGCTGCACGTCCCAGCTGTGACACTCGCTGAACACACCTGAGACAGGAAGACACCAGCACAGGGTTAAAGGTCACAGCTCTGCTCAGAGGACATGAGGCGATGTGTGTCGGCTCGTACCGATGGCTTGTTTCTCGTAGTGACTGGCCAGTTCTCTCATTTCCTTTGCCTCTTCGCTGTCGTCCTCTCCGCTCTCCTGCGCCAGTTTCCTCAAGATCTTACTGGCTGCCAGAGCGGCTGCGATACAGTCTCTGCACTGCAAACACAACACAATACTAACTACAACCGCAACCACACTGACGCTATTCAAGAGAAGATAATTATCTTTTTAAAGAGGTTCTATTATGCTCTTTTACGAAGTCTTGATTTTAACAAAGTATTTCACTATAAATACATTACAGTTGCTAAAATCATCAAATAGCTTTTTCCTTAATCAGTTTAATTATGTGAAGTATCCAAATGCACTGATTATTATTATTATTATTATGTTTCACAGCTATATGAGTTTCTACCACCAAATGAAGCAGAAAACAAGTAAATGTGAATCCTAAAGTGGAGCGTTCATCACAAATCACTGCTGTACCTGCTCCCAGCCGATCTCTGCCAGTTCTGTGTTATTCTGCACGACGGCCCAGAGGAACAGATCCCGTCCCGGGTCCCAAACCGTGTCTGCGCTCCACTCTTCACCTGAACACGGCAGATCCACCAGGCCTTTGGATGGCACCTGAAACAGTGAAGAAAACACACCGACTCTTCTGATAACCGTTATTCTAGAAGCTTGTCAAAACATGTCCAGGTCAAAAATAAGTCATATTAAATTATATTTTGTACAAGATGCCTACTTTAGAATCTTTGAGATGCATTGTGAGTAGTGCTGTCAAACGATTAATCGCGATTAATCGCATCCAAAATAAACGTTTTTGTTCTAATAGTGTGTGTGTGTGTGTGTGTACTGTGTATGTTTATTATGTATATATAAATACACACACATACAGTATATATTTTGAAAACATTTACATGTGGGTCAAAGACGTTAAGATGTCCGCATCAAAAGAAATTTACAAAAGTGATTATATGTCCATAGAAAGCACGTTAAATGTAAGTAAAGTGTCTACTTTTAAGGTTTCAAATAAGTTTTTGGAGAATAAAATGTTAAAATTTGGATGAAATAATTTACATTGTCATTCAGTGTAACACAATATTTATGTAAAAATTCAAACAACATGCTTATTCTGACATGTACATATTAAAATATATAAAAGAATAAGGGAGCTAAATTGATTTTTGTTGTAAATATGCCAAGACAAGAATGTTACACTGAATGAGTGGGTGTCTTCTGTAAATCAGGGAAAAATGTATGATATTTATTTTTTGCTCGGAAAAACAAAAACAAAATTGCAATTAAATTAAACAGAAAACAACAAGATAATTTTTTGGGGGGGAAAAACAACAGTAATTTAAAGCAGTATTACACTTATTGTTTTTATGCTTAAACCCTTTTTCGTCTTTGACCCATGTATTTACATGTATATATTTATATTCATATAATTTATATTATATATAAATATTTTTAATATATAAACATAACACTTTTTTCTTAAATATATACATGCATGTGTGTGTATTTATATATACATAATAAATATAAACAGTACACTCATATATGTTATGTAAACAAAACTTTGAATGCGATTAATCACGATTAATCATTTGACAGCACTAATTGTGACATTATTATTTTCATGTCAATTAATAACTTATTACATTATCAATGTAATATCATAATTTTTGTCTTGTTTTCAAAGTTTCAGTTTTAAAAAAGAGTTTGTTCATTGAAATAAATCTGAAATAAAAGAACATAGAAATATTATATTAAAGACTTTGAATGTTTTTAAGGCAACGTTTTTAAAATGTTAAAATTTTTAAATGTCGCCTTGGAAACAAACTGAAATAAAATAAGTTTAGGTTGAAGTACTAAAATGACTAAAACTGAAATAAAAATAAAGCTAAATAGAAATATAAAAAGCATAATACAACAAAAACATGCATAACAAAATTATTAAAAATAAAAATAAAATAAAAACATTAATAAATTTTATAATAGTATATAAATGCTTAAATGTAAATTAATAACCCATTTTCATAATAACATTATCAGTTAAATGTAATTATTTTTGCCTTGTTTTCCAGTAAAAATAACATCATTAAAACTAAATTTACACGAAGACATTTTTGTTAGTACTGAAGCAAAAACCATTGCAATCCTCAGCAGTGTTGTTATTGTTAACTTAAACTAAAACTATTACAATTGTTTTCGTTAATTGAAATGAAGCTTAAAAACTAAATGAAAATATAACTATTAGCTGACAATCTTGAAATATTTCTCTTGAAATTTCAAATTTTAAATATTGCCTTGGCATTTAAATTAAATAAAAAAGTTGAAGTTCTAAAATGACTAAAACTAACAACAAAAAATAAATGAAAGTTAAATAGAAATATAAAAATACGAATAAAAATGAAAAATTACAAAATTACTACTACTGAACTAAAATTAAAATGGAAAACATAAAAATTAAAATTATTAATAAACACTTGTTGAAGTACAGTATACACTCTTAAAAATAAAGGTGCTTCACGATGCCATAGAAGAACCTTTTTGTCTAAATGGTTCCATAAAGAACCTTTAACATCTGAAGAACCTTTCTGTTTCACAAAAGCTTCTTTGTGGCGAAAGAAGGTTCTTCAGATTATAAAAAGGTAAGAAAGAGATGGTTCTTTAAATAACCTTTGACTGAATGGTTCTTTGTGGAACCAAAAATGGTTCTTCTATGGCATCGCTGTGAAGAACCTTTTGAAGCACCTTTATTTTTAAGAGTGTACTACAATAACACTGCTGTAATATGAAAAAATAACAATGTATTAATTCAATTTAATTGTATTTATATGTCCTTGTTGCTGAGCTGTTCTTAAACTTGCCATCAAACGGACATCATCTTCGGTCATCTTGTAGCGTGACGGCTCGTATAACGGCTGAGTGAAACTCCCCAGCAGGTGGCGCACTTCTTCAGCCACGTGACTCAAGGAGATCTTTGTGCTTCCAGGCGGCGGCTCTTGACCCCTGCGGATTTTTCCACCCTGGACTCTTTTAGCGAGTTTGCGCAGGAAGAAGCAGGCGGGCAGGTGGCCGTAAAGCTCACAGAGCGTGTCCTCATGCTCCAGAAACTTCCTCACACACACTCCATTCTCCAGCAGGAGACGCACGAACTCAGGTTTGTCTCCCACCAGCGCAGAAAAGATGGCCGGATGCAGATCACACGACTGAGACGAGAAAGATATGGAAAAAACATAACCACAAACTCAACCAGGTCACCCTAGTGTATTGCTATTGACTTCTAAGCAGGGTTATTATTGTTAATTAAAACTAAAACCTTTAAAAAATAACATTTTATTACTTAAAATAAACATTAACTGAACTTAAATAAAATATCTAAAAAATAATAATATTTTATATCTATTTGTCAAAGCAACATTTCTCATTTTCTTTTAGTTTAAGTACTAAAAAAGGAAAAAAATAATAAAAACTATATAGACATGTTTAAAAATCATAATAATAATAATGAAAACACACAAAATAATTACATTTAAAACGATAAACATTTTCATTCAATGAAATGAAATAAACATTTCCTGAAATAAAATAAATTACAAAAATTGTCAACTTATTTTATGTCACCTAGCTGCCAAGGCAATATTTCTCATTTTCATTTAGTTTAAGTTGAAGTAATAACTAAAATGTATAAACGTATAAACTAAAAAAAAAAAAAAATTTTTATAAAAACCATAGACATATTTTTTAAAAACTAATAAAAAAAAAAAAACAAAATTACAAAAATATTAACTAAAACTTCAATACAAAGAAATGTCATTACTTGAATTAAAATTAACATTAAATGAAAGAAAATATTATATTATATCATCGCCATGGTAATATTTCAAATTTTTGTTTAGTTTAATATATATATATATATATATAGACATATAAAAAAAAAAAAAGACAAAAACACACTACAAAAACATTAAAACTAAACTAACTTTAAAATTAAAATAAAAAAAAACTATATTATACTAAACTACCAAAACTTTAAGTACTAAAAAAGGAAAAAAATAATAAAAACTATATAGACATGTTTAAAAATCATAATAATAATAATGAAAACACACAAAATAATTACATTTAAAACGATAAACATTTTCATTCAATGAAATGAAATAAACATTTCCTGAAATAAAATAAATTACAAAAATTGTCAACTTATTTTATGTCACCTAGCTGCCAAGGCAATATTTCTCATTTTCATTTAGTTTAAGTTGAAGTAATAACTAAAATTTATAAACGTATAAACTAAAAAAAAAAAAAATTTTATAAAAACCATAGACATATTTTTTAAAAACTAATAAAAATAACAAAACAAAATTACAAAAATATTAACTAAAACTTCAATACAAAGAAATGTCATTACTTGAATTAAAATTAACATTAAATGAAATAGAATATTATATTATATCATCGCCATGGTAATATTTCAAATTTTTGTTTAGTTTAATATATATATATATATATATAGACATATAAAAAAAAAAAAAGACAAAAACACACTACAAAAACATTAAAACTAAACTAACTTTAAAATTAAAATTAAAAAAACTATATTATACTAAACTACCTAAACTATAATATTGTATCAATGATACTAAAATAACACAGCTTCTAAGCTTGGCTTGCAGTCGTATTTCAAAACAAGTTAAAACAACATCTGCAGTGCACAAACTTGATGTATTTCAGCAAATGTTAATGAGCATAATTTTATGTGGCGTGTACAAAAGTTTCCATTTGATCCACTAGTTTAGTTTAGTTTGTAAGTCTCTGTGATTGTGGTAGCTTTTGCGTTATTTTAACCCACCGTCCACTGGCTCTCCTCGGTGAAGATCTCGCTCTCGGCGATGTCGACCCGGTTCCAGGCCACAGCGAGCTCCAGCTGTCTCTCCCACGACTGACGCCCCGCGTGTTCATCGCTTCTGGAGGCTGAGGTGCAACAACATCTGTGTGAGGTTTAACAGTTCTTACCAGGGATGCGCCGATCCAATATTCATATCGGGTATCGGCTCCGATAGTGCCATTTTTCTCGGATCGGGTATCGGTCAGAGAGGGCCGATCCAAA